ACATGGTCAGACATGCCACCCCACATGTTCCTGTACCCATTTCTACCAATCATTGAGTCCAATGTTTCCTGTAAATTGACTCACAGACTTTACTCACACTTGTGGGGTTTGTTAGAGAAATAGTTTAGGGAGTGGGGAAGGCAAAGAATATATGTATGTTCAGGTTTAGTTCAGCAGTCTGAAAGCAGATTAAGAAGGCACAATTTTTCAACTTGTTTAGACAGCTTCTCAGTCAAAAAGTGAAAGTCTAGGTTCAGTTCAGCATCACAAATAAACCTCTGGTTTCCTCAATCATCCAACAAACTTTATCTCAGAGCAGTTACAATTCAACTTTTCATTCAATCATCCAGCAGACAAAACTTTTAACTGTGGCCACATTGACTTCAGAGTCCTTCCACCACTGTCTCTCCTAGTGTCTTCATAGTCCCTCCACCATTGTCTATCATATCACAGTGTGGGAAGTGTTCTCTTATATTGGTTCCACAGCTTTTAATGATTTTCAGTACCACAGCTTTTAATGATTTTCAGTACCATGTGTCTGTAGTTAAGGTAGCTGGAGACCATGCCCCCCTCAACAGGGGCTAACACAATGTCTAGAAAAGCTATTTTTCAAGGTTTCTGACACCCCAAGTATTCCTGGTTGACAGTTATATTCTTTGCGTGTTTGGTATATGTCATTCAACTGTCTTTTTGTGCTTATGGTTTTTACTGAGGAACCACCATTTAACCTTATTTGCTCTCCTTTATAGGTTACTCTTCATGTTTCTCTAGCTGCTTTCAGAATTCTTTCCATTTATTTGTTTCTGCCAGATTCGACTATGATATGCCTATTGAAACTACTTTATCCTTATTCTTTTGAATTCTGTGTCAAGAAGAAAAATACGGAACTCATGCAATATTATTTAAAATGGCTGACCCTGGAGGACATTATGCTGAATAAAATATCTCAGTCACAAAAAGTCAAATATTGCATAGTGCCACTGTTGTAGAATGAGACTGACATCAGGGTTTGGGTGAGACTGAGAAAAACTGGATAGATTATGGAAACTAAATTGAAACAAATGAGGGAGAGAACAGTTTAAAAGCGATATATGATAGGGCATTATGATTATCACAGGAATCCAGAATTAAGGTTGCATAGTGGAGTGCATTCGGGGTGAGGGGATTGTATATCAATGAAGAAGTTTATCTTTTGCTTTTCAAAGAGAGGAATGAACTGGGGGGGTGGGGCGGGGGTAGAGAAAAAAGTGCAACAATGAATGAATGGAAATCCAAAATCTCTGTAAATGTTCATTAAAATTAATAAAGTAAAATAAAAAAAAGAAGTTCAAACAGACTTTCCACCAGCTGGAAATCCATTGATTCTGTGTTTTGATCACAATTTTTTGGTGATATCTTGCTTTGGTTTTGTGTGGAGAGTAAGGTAATCTGTTTCTTCCATGTCATTACTGTGATAGAGTTTTTCTTGTCTGGGGTCTTCACAGGTCCTGAATCTGGCTGTGTTGCTCACTGCACAGCAGAGGGGTGGGCAATTTGCTCTCCTAAAAGTCCTCTGTGGTCCGTATCTGTTTTTATGTCTTTTGAGAATATGCTGCCGCTGTTGTTATGTGCTTCCAAGTGAGAACTGACTCATCACTTACCCTCCAGTGAGTTTTGAGAAGCAGTAAATCACACAAAAGGAGATTGTCCATGATTCTTCTTAGGAGCAGTTGGAAATCTGAATCTTTTACCTCTGGGTTGGCAATGCAGCGTCTTATTATTTGGCCACCATACCTCCCGAGTGGGTATACACTAGGAATGTCATTATGGAATTATATGGCCATTTTAGGGAGCTCTGTTTGCACTGCAAACCCAACGGTTGTTCTTCTCTGGCAGTTCAAGTCCATCAGTGGTTCCAAGGGTAAAAGATGGACAATCTTCTGTGAAATTTGCAGCCTTGGAAAACCTGCCAGGGTTCAGCTGTGAGTTAGTTCTGATTTTATTAACTTTAGGTTTTTTGACTGTAGATCTATTTTTAGTAGATGCTAGATCTGTTTTAGATGATAAATGTATTTTAGAGGAATCACCACACAATGACTGCATTCCCATCAATGATATATAAGGGCTTCAATTTCCCACATCTTTACCAATAATTAGTTTCTGGGGATTTTTCTTTTTTTTAATTCTTAAAAGATCTTAGCAGGAGTACAATAATATCTTATGGTTTTGATTTATATCTCTCTGATGGATAATGATGCTGAACATCTTTTTTTAATGTATTTGGTGGCCTTAAAATATTTTAATATTATCTTTGGTGAAATTTACCTAATATAATTGGGTTTATGCAATTTTAGGAATTGCTGATGTTTTCAAATTAGAAGTGAAGTGTCCGTCTTCTCTATCATTATGTAATGAAACTGTTATAAGACATTTTGGAATTATCACAAGAATTGAGAAATGAATGAAAAATATGATCTGACCAACCCTGACATGGCTTTGGTTATAAGTTCTTTTGCTGTATGATCTTCAGCGGGTAAACTGTTTCTAGCCTTAGTTTATTCACCTGCTAAGTGGAAATTGGATTCTATGTTATAATGTGCCTCAGAAAACTAGTGGGGAAAGTAATTGAATTCATGTTCTTTAAGTTCTGTTACAAGTAATGTGTTGTAATAAAAAGAAATGTTTTGGTTTTTTTTAAAAAAATAAGATTGGATTATGAACAATGCATTAATATAAAATCTGGCAGATGAACAGGAAGTTACTTGTGCTTATTCAACTAGGTAAAGTTCCAGACTAGCAGGAAAAGTAAAATCTTATTTGTATATTACTGAGGTCACCCTTCAGGAACAAAGGATATAGTCCTCCACAGGAAAATGCATCTATAAGAGTATTTTTCTACTGCAACAAGACAAAGGTAAATAACCCAATTGAAAAATGGGCACAGGATATGAATAGACACTTCACCAAAGAAGACATTCACATGGCAAACAAACACATGAAGAAATGTTCAAAATCCCTAGCTCTAAGAGAGATGCAAATCAAAACAACTATGAGATATCATCTTACCACAGGAAAAATAGCAAAATTTAACAGCAAACATCAAATACTGGTGAGGTTGCAGAGAAACTGGAACCCTTATTCACTGTTGATGGGAGTGTAAAATGGTGCAATC